GGTTTAGACCTGGTTTTAGTCCTGGTTTACCTGGTTTAGTCCTGGTTTAGACCTGGTTTAGTCCTGGTTTTAGACCTGGTTTAGTCCTGGTTTAGACCTGGTTTAGTTTAGACCTGGTTTAGACCTGGTTTAGACCTGGTTTAGTCCTGGTTTAGTTTAGACCTGGTTTGGTTTAGACCTGGTTTTAGTCCTGGTTTCCTGGTTTAGACCTGGTTTAGACCTGGTTTAGTTTCCTGGTTTAGACCTGGTTTAGACCTGGTTTAGTCCTGGTTTACCTGGTTTAGTCCTGGTTTAGTCCTGGTTTAGACCTGGTTTAGACCTGGTTTTAGTCCTGGTTTAGACCTGGTTTAGTCCTGGTTTAGACCTGGTTTAGTCCTGGTTTAGACCTGGTTTAGTCCTGTTTAGACCTGGTTTACCTGGTTTATCCTGGTTTAGACCTGGTTTAGTCCTGGTTTAGTCCTGGTTTAGACCTGGTTTACCTGGTTTAGTCCTGGTTTAGACTGGTTTAGACCTGGTTTAGTACCTGGTTTAGACCTGGTTTAGACCTGGTTTAGACCTGGTTTATTTCCTGGTTTAGACCTGGTTTAGTCCTGGTTTAGACCTGGTTTAGACCTGGTTTAGTCCTGGTTTAGTCCTGGTTTAGACCTGGTTTAGTCCTGGTTTTAGTCCTGGTTTAGACCTGGTTTAGACCTGGTTTAGACCTGGTTTAGTCCTGGTTTAGTCCTGGTTTAGACCTGGTTTAGTCCTGGTTTAGTCCTGGTTTAGTCCTGGTTTAGACCTGGTTTACTGGTTTACCTGGTCCTGGTTTAGACCTGGTTTAGACCTGGTTTAGCCCAAAATGTGAAAACAGGAAAATCCCTCTGTGTAATCCATTCATTTCAACAAAGTAACTGTAATCCAATTACCACTCACTGAAACAGTAACTGTAACTGAATACAGTTACTCATAATTTGTACTCTGATTACATAACTCCGGTACATGTAATCTGTTACTCCCCAACACTGGATATATATCGTATCGTGGCCTGTGTATCGGGGTATGTATCGTATCGGTAACTTCTTAATGATTCTCAGCACTAGTGTTTACAGCTCGGAGCGGAAAAGCTGCACGAACTTAACACTTCGCTCTAATGAGTTTTCAGCCAATTAACCTGTGACCTTCCCTCTCCTGCGGTTTCTTATCAGACCTGCTGCGCGCGATGTAATATTTAATAACCGAGGAGGAGGAAGAGGAGGAGGAGGAGGAGGAGGAGGAGGAGAGCTGGAGGGTTCTGTTTGAACATAAAGACGTTTGAATGATTAAGATGGAGAGAAGATACAAGATACGGACACTTCAAGAACGAGAGGAGATGTGTTTGATTAGAGACGAGCTTTTCACAACGCCTCAACGGCAACAGGTTTGATTAACATGGATTTTGTTTCACTTCAGACCCAGAGTCTCGCCCCCCTCTCTTTGTATTTGAAGTACTCACACGTGTACGCTGTAGTATTCGCAGTAATATTTGTAATGTGTGTATGCAGTGTGTTGCTTTTTGCTGTAACGCAGTAATGTGGCGTTACAGAAAAATTTTAATATTTTCCTCGGTACAAATGTCAGAAACATGCGTTACAATGCATTTTCTAACCTGGATTGAAGTGGTGGGTTTTTCGTTTTTCTTCGTGCAAATTCGCAAAAATCACTGCGATATCAGCAGCGGTGAAACGCCGGAGAAGCGCCCGCGTAGACCGTCAGGTGACCGCGGGCGAAAGAACTCCACGCACCACGGGGCAAACCTCAGCTGAACAAGATTAGTCCTGGTTTGGTCCTGGTTTAGTCCTGGTTTAGATTTGATTTTGTCCTGATTCAGTCCTGGTTCAACTCTGGTTCAGTTCTGTTTTAGTCCTGGTTTGGTCTTGGTTTAATCCTGGTTTAGTCCTGGTTTGGACCTGGTTTAGTCCCGGTGTAGTCTTGGTTTGGACCTGGTTTACTCCTGGTTTAGTCCTGGTATAGTCCTGGTTAGGCCTGCTTTGGTCCCGGTTTAGTCCTGGTTTACTCCTGGTTTAGTCCTGGTGTAGTCTTGGTTTGGACCTGGTTTACTCCTGGTTTAGTCCTGGTATAGTCCTGGTTTAGTCCTGCTTTGGTCCCGGTTTAGTCCTGGTTTACTCCTGGTTTAGTCCTGGTATAGTCCTGGTTTAGTCCTGCTTTGGTCCCGGTTTAGTCCTGGTTTAGTCCTGGTATAGGCCTGCTTTGGTCCTGGTTTAGTCCTGGTTCAGTCCTGGTTTGGATTTGGTTTAGTCCTGGTGTAGTCCTGGTTTAGTCCTGGTATGGACCTGGTTTAGTCCTGGTTTAGTCCTGCTTTGGTCCTGCTTTGGTCCTGGTTTAGTCCTGGTTCAGTCCATATACGGTACAAAAGTTCAGCATCTTCACAGTTATTTTGGTGAGAGTAACTTAAAAGTACTGCAGTAGTAACGTAATATTTTACATTTTAAACTCAGTAATATTGTAACGTAAGAAATCACTTTGAAACGACAATAACAAGTCATAAATAACACATTACAGTTTTAAAGTAACTTGCCCAACAGTGATGTAGTAAAGTATTAGTAATATTTGTAATACTCACACTTGTATATTGTAGTATAAGCGTCTGTGTTTTCTTCCACTTGTATATTTGTATGTGTTTGTAGTATTTATTGTAGTATTAGCAGTACTCACACTTGAATATTAATCATGAACCTCTTGTCCTCCTCCCTTGTATGTTGTAGTATTTGTTGTACTTGTATGTAGTATAACATTAGTAGTATTTGCAGTACTCAGACTTGTATGTTGCATAGTATGTTGTAGTATTAGTAGTATTTGTAGTACTTGTATGTAGTATAGTATTAGTAGTACTCACATTGTATATTGATTATGAGCCTATGTTGTAGTATTTGTAGTACTTGTATGTAGTATAGTATTAGTAGTATTTATAGTACTCACATTTGAATATCTATCATGAGCCTCTTGTCCTCTCTTGTATTTGAAGTACTCACAGTTGTATGTTGTTGTATTTGTAGTATCAGTAGTATTTGCAGTAAAACTCACACTTGTATATCAATCATGAGCCTCTTGTCCTCTTCCTTTGCATGTTGTAGTATCTGAAGTACTTGTATGTAGAATAGTATTTCTAGGACAGTAGTACTCACACTTGTACATTGGTCATGAACATCTTGTACTCCTCCTTTATATTTGTATGTAGTTGTAGTATTTGCTGTCATATTAGTACTCACACTTTTATGTTGTGTAGTATGCTGTAGTATGTTGTAGTATTAGTAGTATTTGCAGTAGAACTCACACTTGTGTATTGATCATGAGCCTCTTGTCCTCCTCCCTTATATGTTGTAGTATGTTGTAGTATTAGTAGTACTTGTATTTGGTATACTATTTGCAGTACTCACACTTGTACATTGTTTAGTATGTTGTAGTATTAGTAGTATTTGTAGTGTTTAGAGCAGTACTCACACTTGTATGTTGTATAGCATGTCGTAGTATTAGTAGTATTAGTGGTATTAGTAGTATTTAGAGCAGTACTCACACTTATATGTTGTGTAGTATTTGTAGTATTTGCAGTATTAGTAGTATTTCCAGTACTCACACTTGTATGTCGATCATGAGCCTCTTGTCCCCCACCCTTGTATTTGTATGTGGTTCTAGTATCTGCTGTATCATTAGTAGTAGTACTGACACTTGTATGTTGTGTAGTATGCTGTAGTATATGTAGTATTTACAGTATTAGTAGTATTTGCAGTAGTACTCACACTTGTTTATCGATCATGAGCCTCTTGTCCTCCTCCCTTGTATTTGTATGTTGTTCTAGTATCTATAGTAGCATCAGTAGTAGTACTGACACTTGTATGTTGTAGTATGTCGTAGTATGTCGTAGTATTAGTAGTATTTGCAGCAGTACTCACACTTGTATGTTGTAGTATGTTGTAGTATGTCGTAGTATTTGTAGTATTAGTAGTATTTGCAGCAGTACTCACACTTGTATGTTGTAGTATGTCGTAGTATGTAATAGTATTTGTAGTATTAGTAGTATTTGCAGCAGTACTCACACTTGTATGTCGATCATGAGCCTCTTGTCCTCCTCCCTTGTATTTGTATGTTGTTCTAGTATCTGTAATATCATCAGTAGTAGTACTGACACTTGTATGTTGTATAGTATGTCGTAGTATTTGTAGTATTAGTAGTATTTGCAGCAGTACTCACACTTGTATGTTGTATAGTATGTCGTAGTATTAGTAGTATTAGTAGTATTTAGAGCAGTACTCACACTTGTATGTTGTATAGTATGTCGTAGTATTTGTAGTATTAGTAGTATTTGCAGCAGTACTCACACTTGTATGTTGTGTAGTATGTTGTAGTATTAGTAGTATTAGTAGTATTTGCAGCAGTACTCACACTTGTATGTTGTATAGTATGTCGTAGTATTAGTAGTATTAGTAGTATTTAGCAGCAGTACTCACACTTGTATGTTGTATAGTATGTCGTAGTATTAGTAGTATTAGTAGTATTTAGAGCAGTACTCACACTTGTATGTTGTATAGTATGTCGTAGTATTTGTAGTATTAGTAGTATTTGCAGCAGTACTCACACTTGTATGTTGTATAGTATGTCGTAGTATTAGTAGTATTAGTAGTATTTAGAGTAGTACTCACACTTGTATGTCGATCATGAGCCTCTTGTCCTCCTCCCTTGTATTTGTATGTTGTTCCAGTATCTGTAGTAGCATCAGTAGTAGTACTGACACTTGTATGTTGTAGTATGTTGTATAGTATGTCGTAGTATTTGCAGTATTAGTAGTATTTGCAGCAGTACTCACACTTGTATGTCGATCATGAGCCTCTTGTCCTCCTCCCTTGTATTTGTATGTTGTTCTAGTATCTGCAGTAGCATCAGTAGTAGTACTGACACTTGTATGTTGTAGTATGTTGTTGTTATGTCGTAGTATTTGTAGTATTAGTAGTATTTGCAGTAGTACTCACACTTGTATGTCGATCATGAGCCTCTTGTCCTCCTCCACGTGGATGCCCCAGATACAGTCTTGTCCTCGGTCATAAGCTTCAGGCCAGTTTGGAGACAAGACGACGCCCACAGAGTCTGTGATCTCCCCACTGCACACGGCTGCTCCACACACACACACACACACACACACACACACACACACACACACACACACACACACACACACACAAGACACACACACACACACACACACACACACACACACACACACACACACACACACACACACACACACACACACACACACACACACACACACACACACACACACACACACACACACACACACACACACACACACACACACACACACACACACACACACACACACACACACACACACACACACACACACACACACACACACACACACACACACACACACACACACACACACACACACACACACACACACACACACAAGACACACACACACACAACACACACACACAACAGACACAACAGACACACAACAAACACAAGAGAACACACACAAGAGGGTTTAAAGGGACATTTTACACTAGCGACACTCTGATCTGTGTTATAATGTTGTTTCATCACAAACAGACCTGGAGTTGTGTTTTTTGTTTCATTCACAAGTTTAAATTTCATTGATTAAATGCCTATTACCATTGTACATCCCCATCTCCAAACTGTTGAGCATACAGACTCAAATGTGAAAAAAGACTCCACGGTGGAGGCCACACACAGACTATATCAGGGGTGTTCAACTAAAAGTAGAGGAGGTCTGGTTAGAGAACATCTCCTGAAGCAGAGGTCTGAGACTAGCCTGATTCTTCAGCCGGTTTCACTTCGTAGAAACCATGTGACCTCGCAGCATTAGGATTCATTCGCTCGACAGTAGGCGTGTACTTTTTTTATTTAACCAATCGCTGTTATTTGGTCGTGATGTATGTAAAAGAGGCTAACTGGTAAATTAAGCTTTTCCCAAATCTCATAGGAAGAAGGACAAAAACGTCTTTCCCCTTGATAAAATTCACCAAACATTCTCTTTGTTCCAGTTTTAAATCCTCGATCTCGGGAATCATTAACAACACTGAATATATGGCTCTTTGCTGATTGGCTGGTGCCCGAACTTGCACTTCCGAGGTTTTTGCGAACCATCTGCTGTATTCTGATTCCTGATCTAGTCACCGGAGAGAAATGAAATTGAGCGGAGACACTAGGTGGCGCCAGCCTGACTAGTCCGGAACATCATAATGTCTAACTTGCATTATGATTATGATACAGAAGCAGCCTCGTTTTATCATTGTTTGAATGTAGAGTACAAATTATGAGTAACTGTATTCAGTTACAGTTACTGTTTCAGTGAGTGGGAATTGGATTACAGTTACTTTGTTGAAATAAATGGATTACACAGAGGGATTTTCCTGTTTTCACATTTTGGGCTTTTTTTTTTTCCGGTAATTCCACTCATTGCCAGAACCACGTCTAAACTAGATCTAAACCAGGCCTAAACCAGGACGAAAACCAGGTCTAAACCAGGTCTAAACCAGGACTAAAACCAGGACTAAACCAGGTCTAAACCAGGACTAAAACCAGGTCTAAACCAGGACTAAAACCAGGTCTAAACCAGGACTAAAACCAGGACTAAACCAGGTCTAAACCAGGTCTAAACCAGGACTAAACCAGGTCTAAACCAGGACTAAAACCAGGTCTAAACCAGGTCTAAACCAGGACTAAAACCAAAACCAGGTCTAAACCAGGACTAAAACCAGGTCTAAACCAGGACTAAACCAGGTCTAAACCAGGACTAAACCAGGTCTAAACCAGGACTAAAACCAGGTCTAAACCAGGTCTAAACCAGGACTAAAACCAGGTCTAAACCAGGTCTAAACCAGGACTAAACCAGGTCTAAACCAGGACTAAAACCAGGTCTAAACCAGGTCTAAACCAGGACTAAAACCAGGTCTAAACCAGGTCTAAACCAGGACTAAAACAGGTCTAAACCAGGTCTAAGCCAGGTCTAAACCAGGACTAAACCAGGACTAAAACCAGATCTAAACCAGGTCTAAACCAGGACTAAAACCAGGTCTAAACCAGGTCTAAACCAGGACTAAAACCAGGTCTAAACCAGGTCTAAACCAGGTTTAAACCAGGTCTAAAACCAGGTCTAAACCAGGACTAAACCAGGACAAAAACCAGGTCTAAACCTGGTCTAAAGCAGGACTAAAATAGGATTAAAACAGGACTAAAACAGGTCTAAAACCAGGTCTAAACTAGATCTAAAGTAGATCTAAACCAAATCTAAACCAGGTCTAAAACAGGATTTAACAGGACTAAATCCTGCTGCGTGGACGTGTCTCTTCGTCTTTTATCAATAATATTTTGAATATGTTTAAGTAAAGTCTGGACTTTTTTATTTTCTTTTATCAGACAAAACTTCTTATGTTACGATTTCCTCGTCTTTGCTTCTCTACAACAAATCAAGTAATCCAAAGTATTCAGATTACATTACTCACTTGAAGTAATTTAATGGATTCCATTACAAACTACATTTTGGGGTGAGTAATCTGTAATCTGTAGGGGATTACATTTTAAAAGTCACCTTCACACAACTCCAGATGTGTTTGTGATGAGGAAACAACATTATTAACAGTGTTGGGGAGTAACAGATTACATGTACCAGAGTTATGTAATCAGAGTACAAATTATGAGTAACTGTATTCAGTTACAGTTACTGTTTCAGTGAGTGGTAATTGGATTACAGTTACTTTGTTGAAATAAATGGATTACAGGGCGGTAATTTTCAGTTTTCACATTTTGGGATAAACCAGGACTAAACTAAAACCAGAACTAAACTAGGACTAAACCAGGACTAAAACCAGAACTAAACTAGGACTAAACTAGGACTAAACCAGGACTAATACCAAAACTAAACTAGGACTAAACCAGAACTAAACTAGGACTAAACCAGGACTAAACCAGGACTAAACTCAAAACTAAACTAGAACTAAACTAGGACTAAACCAGGACTAAAACCAAAAATAAATTAGGACTAAACCAGAACTAAACTAGGACTAAACCAGGACTAAAACCAAAACTAAACTAGGACTAAACCAGAACTAAACTAGGACTAAACCAGAACTAAACTAGGACTAAACTAGAACTAAATAAGGACTAAACCAGAACTAAACTAGGACTAAACTAGAACTAAACTAGGACTAAACCAGGACTAAAACCAGAACTAAACTAAAAAGCATGACAATATCAAGTAATCCAAAGTATTCAGATTACATTACTCACTTTAAGTACTTTAATGGATTACGTTACAAACTACATTTTGGGGTGAGTAATCTGCAATCTGTAATCTGTAGGGGATTACATTTTAAAAATCACCTTCCCAACACTGATTATAACAGAGTAGATCAGAAAACGGCGGAGTTTTGGTGTTTTTAGTTCCACTTTTATTACATTTTTCAGTGATTTCCATTTAGTTTACGTTTTGATTTTTAAGCATGAATCGTCCTAACATAACCTGGTCTGACCTCTGCAGGCGGGTTCGGTGTCGTTCCACTGCGGGTCGTCGGGGTTGGTGCACTCGATGCTGACCGAGCCCTGCTCCAGAGTGTAGCCCGCCTCGCACGAGAACTCCACCACCGCCCCCGCCGCCCAGGAGGGGTCGCTGCTCGTCATGTTCCCGTACTTCACGAACGGCTCGTAGCAGTGGCCCGGAGCGAACGCTGAGAGCACAGAAACACATCCACAGGGGTTATTTTCAACGGACGAGATACAGCAGGAACACCTTTGATTAAGTGACTTTAAAACTGTAATGTGTTATTTATTTATGACGTGTTTCTGTCGTTTCAAAGTGATTTTTTTACATTATAATATTACTGTGTTTAAAATGTAAAATATGACACGACTATTACAGCACTTTTAACAGTTACTCTCAACAAAATAACTGTGAAGATGATGAAGTTTTTATATGGACTAAACCAGGACTAAACCAGGACTGAACCAGGTCTAAACCAAGACTAAACCAGAGCTGAACCAGGACTGAAGTAGGTCTAAAACAGGACTGAACCAAGGAGCAGAAGAGCGGAGCGGGGAGAGGAGAGGGGAGCGGTGCAGAGAAGGGTGCGCGGAGATTCCGTGCGAATGAACTAGCTACAACACGCAGCAGCAAGCGGACTCTTTCTTTGCCTTGAAAATTACGTTTTCAGACATAGGATATCGCTTTCGTGTCCTGAAAAACGTTTGTCTCACTCTTGGAAATAAAGTACGTTTTCATAATAAGCAGAAGTTTCCTGTCCAGGAGTAATTTGTGGACCAGTGCTTCAGTCTTTAGACCCTTCGTCTGCTTCAGTCGCACCATCGCTGGAATGAATCTTCAAGAATCACCTTAGTTTGGCTTTGCTGCTTTTCCCCTTGTCTTCTTCTTTCAGTGACCTCAAAAACGGACTTTCTTTTGCGGCGAACTGCTCCTGGATTCTTGTCGCCATCGCAACAAACTTTGTGCGAACTGCGAGGAAGATATAGGTCAAAAAAGCCGCTAAGAACTGTTGCGTTGGTGGAGTAAACAGCGTCTGTGCGTCTTGCGTCTGTGGACTGCGTGACAGTCGTACGTAAACCACGTACCGGCAGCGCAGGCAAGTCAGTTACACTAGAAACGTAGGGAGTTTGATTGACAGCCTGTCAGCTCACAGATAACGAGGCAGTGTCGTTATCTATTGGCAAATGTTTATCTGGCCCCACCACGTCCAGAGTTGATGAATTTTTATTCTCTTTTTTTTGGTCATCATAATTACAAGGCTACTGCATCTATAATCTATCATTGACAATTTGAAACAAAAAAAAATCCTCCATACAACCTTTAAACAGCAAATTCCACCTAAGAATTCTAACCTAGCTCCAGCTCAGATTAAACTACTGGGATTCTACAATGTTTTGTTTGGACTGGTCGGTGTGTGTGTGTGTGTGTGTGTGTGTCGAGGTGTGTGTGTGTGTGTGTGTGTCGAGTGTGTGTGTGTGTGTCGAGGTGTGTGTGTGTCGAGGTGTGTGTGTGTGTGTGTGTGTGTGTGTGCGCTCACCCTGGTATCTGAGGGCCACACCAGTAGAGGTCGCTGTGGCGTCTGTGGTGAATTCGATGAAGAGGAACCTGGAGGAGCTGAGCAGGCCTTCGTTTGGGAGATACTCCACTTCATACGAGTCGTACAGAACCGCGGCGTCGATGCTGTTTCCGTTTTTTATCACCAAACTTCAAACGCAACAGACGAAGAGACGAAGAGACAAAGACAAAGAGACAAAGAGACAAAGAGGAAAGAGCATTTTACTTTTACACGACCAGAGAAGAGAACTTATAATGAAAAAACTAGAATTTAACTTTGTGCTACTACTACTACTACTACTACTACTACTACTGCTACTACTACTACTACTACTGCTACTACTACTACTACTACTACTACTACTACTGCTGCTACTACTGCTACTGCTAATACTACTACTGCTACTGCTGCTACGACTATTAGTACTACTACTACTACTGCTACAACAACAACTACTACTAAATAGTAATGGTCACATTTTTCTATAGCGCTTTTCCACCTTCAAGGCTCTCAAAGCAGTACTACTACTACTACTACTACTACTACTACTACTACTACTACTACTACTACTACTACTACTACTACTGCTACTACTACTACTACTACTACTACTACTACTGACTACTACTACTACTACTGTACTACTACTACTACTACTACTACTACTACTACTACTACTACTACTACTGTACTACTGACTACTACTACTACTACTACTACTACTACTACTACTACTACTACTACTACTACTACTACTACTACTACTACTACTACTACTACTGCTACTGCTACTACTACTACTACTACTACTACTACTACTACTACTACTACTACTACTACTACTACTACTTACTACTACTACTACTACTACTACTACTACTACTACTACTACTACTACTACTACTACTACTACTACTACTACTACTACTACTACTACTACTACTACTACTACTGCTACTACTACTACTACTACTACTACTGCTACTACTGCTACTGCTAATACTACTACTGCTACTGCTGCTACGACTATTAGTACTACTACTACTACTGCTACAACAACAACTACTACTAAATAGTAATGGTCACATTTTTCTATAGCGCTTTTCCACCTTCAAGGCTCTCAAAGCAGTACTACTACTACTACTACTACTACTACTACTACTACTACTACTACTACTACTATTGCTACTAGGAAAGCTACTGCTACTACTACTACTACTACTATGACTACTACTACTGCTACTATTACTACTACTACTACTACTACTACAACTACTACTAAAACTACTACTATTACTACTACTACTGCTGCTGTTGTTTCTACTACTACTACTACTACTACTACTACTACTACTACTATGACTACTACTACAACTAGTGTGTGTTTATACTTGTACTTGTTTGTTCCTGGTGTGAGTCCAGTTTAACCCTGATGTAGATTTGGTTTGGTCCTGGTCTAGTCCTGGTCTAGTCCTGGTCTAGTCCTGGTCTAGTCCTGGTCTAGTTCTGCTCTAGTCCCTGTTCAGTCATAATTCTGCTGTTGTAAACTGTAATGGTGAAAGTTCTCTTAATTACAAAATCACTGGACATAATTTGTGTTCTAATGTAGTGTTTTGGTTCAAGACGATTATTTAATCAGAAATCAGAACGAGCTTCACATGAGACTCTCAAGTGTGTCGCCAGTTTCAACGCAGCAAATCCAGTCCTCTGATCTGAAAACTCACTACATCAGCCAGTCATGAATCAGCACTCGAGGGAAGAGGGAATTCTGGAGGTTCTGAGTTTCACACGAGGAAAGCAAAGCAAAGATGTTATTTTGTGTGTCTCACTAGTGACTTTTATTTAGTAAATATAATCACATCCTTAATGAAAATCTGTGGAGTAAGAAAACTTTCAGAAATATCCGTGTGCATAGGATAGAAATCTGTGCGTATTTGGAAAATTTGTGCATATTTGATTATAGTTGAGCATAAAACGGGCTCGGGGTTCTCTCTCTCTCTCAAGACCAAGATTAGTCCGGGTTCAGTCCTGATTTAGTCCTGATTTAGTTCTCTTTCAGTCCTGGTTCAGTCCTGAGATGATTCGTGGTTCAATCCTGGTTCAGTGCTCCTGGGATCAGTCTTGGTTTAGTCTTGGTTTAGTCCTGGTTTAGTCCTGGTTCAGTCCTGGTTTAGTCCTGGTTTAGTCCTGGGATCAGTCAGTCTTGGTTTAGTCCTGGTTCAGTCCTGGTTTAGTCCTGGGATCAGTCCAGGTTCAGTCCTGGTTTAGTCCTGGGATCAGTCTTGGTTCAGTCTTGGTTCAGTCCTGGTTTAGTCCTCGTTTAGTCTTAGTTCAGTCCTGGGATCAGTCTTGGTTTAGTCCTGGTTTTAGTCCTGGTTAGTCCTGGGATCAGTCTTGGTTCAGTCTTGGTTCAGTCTGTCCTGGTTTAGTCCTGGTTTAGTCTTGGTTCAGTCCTGGGTCAGTCTTGGTTCAGTCCTGGTTTAGTCTTGGTTCAGTCCTGGTTCAGTCCTGGTTTAGTCCTGGGATCAGTCTTGGTTCAGTCCTGGTTTAGTCCGGGGATCAGTCCTAGTTTAGTCCTGGTTCAGTCTTGGTTCAGTCCTGGTTTAGTCCTGGGATCAGTCTTGGTTCAGTCCTGGTTCAGTCTTGGTTCAGTCCTGGGATCAGTCTTGGTTCAGTCCTGGTTTAGTCCTGGGATCAGTCCAGGTTCAGTCCTGGTTTAGTCCAGGGATCAGTCCTGGTTTAGTCCTGGGATCAGTCTTGGTTTAGTCCTGGTTTAGTCCTGGATCAGTCCAGGTTTAGTCCTGGTTTAGTCCTGGGATCAGTCCTGGTTTAGTCCTGGGATCAGTCTTGGTTTAGTCCTGGTTTAGTCCTGGGATCAGTCCTGGTTTAGTCTTGGTTTAGTCCTGGATCAGTCCTGGTTTAGTCTTGGTTCAGTCCTGGTTCAGTCCTGGTTTAGTCCTGGGATCAGTCCAGGTTTAGTCCTGGTTTAGTCTTGGTTTAATCCTGGTTTAGTCCTGGTTTAGTCTTGGTTCAGTCCTGGGATCAGTCTTGGTTTAGTCCTGGGATCAGTCTTGGTTTAGTCCTGGTTTAGTCCTGGTTTAGTCCTGGGATCAGTCCGTAAACAGTGCAAAAGTGCAACATTTCGATCAATATTTCTAAGTAATCGTACTTGGTAATTGGTGATTGTAAATTTTGATGTAATAACTTTTCATTTCGTATTCTGATGGATAAAATACACACAACACATTTTATGTACGACTGGACTCGTTTGGGAGTTTATGAATATATATTTTATGCTCAACTACAGACAAATACGCACCGATTTCTATCCTATGCATATGAATATTTCTAAAAACTTTCTTACTCCATAAAAATCTCAAAAAACATTCATTAAAAGATGTCAGTGTAATCCCTCGGTCGTCCAGGTAGGTTCCATTTCCGTTCCGTTAATTCTAAAAAGACGAATTCTCTCTTGAGACAAAAAACAAAACAAAAAACTCCTGATGTCTCACCGGTCGTCGTCTTCAGCCAGCGCCACCTTCTCGAAGTGCACGTGCAGCCGGTGTCCAGAGGGGGCGCGCAGGAGCCAGTGACACGTCAGGTTGTTACTGTAGTTTGAGGGAAAACCCGGAGAGACGATCCGCCCCACGGAGACGTTAGCCAGGAGACCCCCACACGACGCTGAGGAGAGAGAGAAAGAGACAGAAGGGAGGCAGAGGGAGAGAAAGTGGGAAAAGAGAAAAAAAAATGGTTTATTTATATATATATTTAGTGCAATATTTACAGTTTTATGGTCAAAAACACCTGCTGCCTTCAGTCGCCTCTGCAATTTCAAGTACTACGTGACATCACACAGCACTGCCCTGATTACAGCCGGGTGTTTCTGATACAAACATCTGTCTGCAGGGGCGGAGTTTGAAGAGTGGAGACCTGTTAGACCAGTTTTGCAATATAAAACCAAAAATAAGAAAACGAAAAAAATCAACAGTTTTATTCATTATTTGTCTCAAAAACCAAAATATAAAAAACAGATAATGATTCTTTTTTCAGTTTTCGATTTTGTGTTTAAATGAAAAATGGAAAAAATGAATAACCGTTTACGTGACGTCCTTGACTGCGATGCCGATCTTTTGCACCGCATACGGACTGAACCAGGACTGAGCCAAGTCCGGGACCAGACCGAGACCAGACCGGGACCAGAGCGGGACTGAGACCGAGACCAGACCGGGACCAGAGCGGGACTGAGACCGAGACCAGACCAGGACCAGGCTGGGACCAGACCAGGACCAGACCGAAACTGAGACCAGGACTAAAACCAAGACCAGACCGGGACCACATTGGACGCTCAGAGCCCACGGCAGGGGCGGAGCTCAAAGCTGAGGCTTGGACTCCGCGGAAGCTCGGAGTCAAAGCTCGGAGTCTGCCCTGGTCCTGCTCTGGTCCTGGTCTGGTCTTGGTCTCAGTCCCGGTCTGGTCCCAGCCTGGTCCTGGTCTGGTCTCAGTGTGGTCCCGGACTGGGATAAGTCCTGGTTCAGTCCGTATGCGGTGCAAAAGTCCGGCATCGCAGTCACGGACGTCACGTAAACGGGAAACGTTTTTTTTCCATTCTTCATTTAAACACAAAATCGAAAACTGAAAAAACGAATCATTATCTGTTTTTTCATTTTGGTTTTGAAGACAAATAATGAAGAAAATAGTTTTTTTGTTGTTGTTTATTTTTGGTTTTATATTGAAAAACGAATGAACAAATGATACACGGAGTCATCTCTCCCACAAATTTACGAATCCTACCAAAGTTTGCCAAACTCTGCTTCAGACTGGTTGAGTTTCAAGGCTCGACCGAAACACGTGATCTGCATCAGCGGAAGATGGAGAAAATAAGAATATAAGAAGATTGTTTTGTTTTGCTGCTGGAACTAAAGAGTAATAGACGCATCAAGAATTTCGGACTTCTGGTCATCGCGCAGTTCATACTGGGAAGGATTTTCCGAAAAAGTGAGCATCAAACCGTCATGTTTGTTTTCCCAGTGGGATGCGTCTATTGACAAAGTCGATCTTTTCAAGTCTTTTGAACCATATCACTTTTGTTTCTGGTTCTGATATTGTCATATTTTAGTTTTGGATTCGGTTAATTGTGTGATTGTTGGATCCTAACAGCGGAAAACGACTCGAGAAATTTGTTTGCAAACTCCATAAATGCAAAAGTGAATCAGATGTGTGTGACTGCAAACCTCCGTTCAAACTGTTTCCCTTCTCAACGGAATTGAAAAATAGTGAAAGGTGAAGGTGATGGGCAGGATTGATCCACAGGAAGGATGAAAAAGGAAACATTTGACTGACTAAATCATCCCGAGTTTGCAGAGAACATTTTGTATGTGGAGCGACAACAAAGCAAAACCCCGATCCCTCACTCCACCTTGGTTATGAATTTAAAAAGTCAAGGCCAAAGCGAAAGACACCAACTGTTCACCAAGAAACACCTTCCACTGCAAAGAGACCAAGACGTGATGTTTCTGTAAAACCACAAGAACAAGAAAGTGCAGCTCAGTCTGTTTGTCTTCTGCTCCTCTCACATTAACAAACGGGATCCTGCTTTGTTGTCGCTCCACATACAAAATGTTCTCTGCAAACTCGGGATGATTTAGTCAGTCAAATGTTTCCTTTTTCATCCTTCCTGTGGATCAATCCTGCCCATCACCTTCACCTTTCACTATTTTTCAATTCCGTTGGGAAGAGAAACAGTTTGAACAGAGGTTTGCAGTCACACACATCTGATTCACTTTTGCATTTATGGAGTTCTCAAACTAATTTCTCGAGCCGTTTTCCGCTGTTAGGATCCAACAACCACACAATTAACGATGTCCGAATCCCAAAACTAAAATATGACAATATCAGAACTAGAAACAAAAGCGATATGGTTCAAAAGACTTGAAAATATCGACTTTGTCAATAGACGCATCCCACTGGCAAAACAAACATGACGGTTTGACGCTCACTTTTTCGGAAAATCTTTCACAGTATGTATTGCGCAATGACCGGAAGTCCGAAATTCTTGATGCGTCTATAGGCTCATGTCTTTAGCTGCGTATTTACACCGTTCATCAGAGACAACGTGAACGATATTATATTAACGTTTGGCTCGTCTTACATGTGAGTAATCAGATGACCCGGCCCAACCTACGATAGGACGCAAATTAGTGGGCAACAAATAGTTTTTAGGTATGAAAATAAATAAATAATGTGGGCAACTGTACATAAATAAACTGAATAATCTCACCAATTTCCAGCACTGAAGTTTTAATGAGCGACAGATGCAATGATGTTGTCAAATGTCAATAATGGAGCCCATTAAAGGACTATTATGGTTCCACATTAGAGTTAGACAATAAAAACTGTTCATCACACAGACATTTGAAGTGCAGTAGAGGAGCGCAGAGGAAAACCAGAGCCAATTTAAATGTACGTGCATCAAGAAAAATAATATAGCCTTGGCTGGTTAGAACAAAATTGGCAATAGATGGATAGGCCCACTCTAGAGGATAGGACAGGACTTCCATAACGCCCTGCATCATTTATATTTTTAGCAGTAGGCCTATTGGTTCAAGTTTTGTGTTGAAGTTATTACAATTTGTCTTTTTTAGCTTTTGTTTGTGCCAGAAACTCAACATTTACGTAGATTTTTGTGTATTACTGTTCCACTTCAGGCTTCTTATTCGTAAGGTTAGTTCAGGTCCATCTAATCCACACTTCAATATGTCATCTGATTATCCATTATGTGACCTTGTGTCTTCAAAAAGTAAGATGAGTGAAACGATAAAATGATATTGTTCATGTTGTCATTGATGAGCAGTGTAACTCTGCAGCTAAAGACATGAGACTATTACTCTTTAGTTCCAGCGGCGAAACAAAACAATCTTCTTACCTTCTCATCTTCTCCATCTTCCGCTGATTCAGATCACGTGTTTTGGTTGAATCTTGAAGCTCAACCAATCAGAAGCAGAGTTCTGTGACCTTTGGTGTGGCCATAAAATGATTCGTAAATTCGTGCCCCTCCCAGTCCCTCTAAACCGTGTACGATTCGTTCATTTGTTTTTCAATATAAAACCAAATATAAGAAAATGAAAAAACTACAATTTTCTTCATTATTTGTCTACAAAATCAAAATGAAAAAACTGAGAATGATTCATTTTTTCAGTTTTCGATTTTGTGATTAAATGAAGAAAGGAAAAAACGGATTACGGGCGTTTACATGACTTCTGTGACTGCGATGCCGGACTTTTACGTTGCATACGGACTGAACCAGGACTGATCTAGGTCCGGGACCACACCGGGATCAGACCGGGACCAGAGCAGGACTGAGACCGGGACCAGACCAGGACGAGAGCGGGACTGAGACCGAGACTAGACCGGTACCAGACCGAGACTGAGACCGAGACTAAGACCGGGACCAGACCGAAGGCTCAGAGCCCACAGCAGGGCCGGAGCTTGAAGCTGAGGCTCGGACCCCGCGGAGGCTCAGAGTCAAAGCTCCGAGTCCGCTCTGGTCCCGGTCTCAGTCCCGTTCTGGTCCCAGACCTGGATCAGTCCTGGTTCAGTCCGTATGCAGCGCAAAAGTCCGGCATCGCAGTCACGGAAGTCGGCCGTTATCCGTTTTTTCCATTCTTCATTTAAACACAAAATCGAAAACTGAAAAAACGAATCATTATCTGTTTTTTCATTTTGATTTTGGAGACAAATAATGAAGAAAACTGTTGTTTTTTCGTTTTCTTATTTTTGGTTTTATATTGAAAAACAAATGAACAAATGATACATGGATTCCCCCTGTCCCCTTCATCAGCTCTATCTGACATGTGTTTGTGGGCGGAGTTTAGTATAGAGTAGAGTTTAGTATAGTTTTTAACGTGCTGAGGATCTTACGGTAGCAGCGCGGTTCCTTGCCGCTCCAGTAGGGGGTGGTGGCGTTGAGGCAGGTGAGGACGCGGGGCCCCTGGAGCTGATACCCGGTCAGACAAGAGAAGAAGGCCTGGCCCCCCGAGTGAAGACTGCTCACAGACACCTGAGCGAACGACGGAGAGGACGGGAACGGACAGCTCAGGATGAACGCTGCAGAGAGAAAGAGGAGAGAGAGAGAGAGAGGGAGAGAGAGAGATGTCATGTCAGTCGATCGCACCATTACTTCTGCACCACTGAAAATAAAATATTTAAACAAACTTATGAAGACGACTGAGGAGACTGAACACAAACGCCCCCAAAAACAAAATCAGATTCTGCAGATTACAAGCTGCAAGTCGTGAAATCTGCAGCTGAAAACGATAATCGAGCAGCAGAAAGAAACTTGTGACACCAGGAGTGTAGCATCCAGTCGAACTGAGAAGGCCAGAACTGACGGTTAAATGACTTTTAATCTTTCCTTGCCGTGTCACAGAACCAACGTAAGAGCTGGACAAGAACAAAATAACAGCAATTACCATACGATTACAGCATCACTAGCTCATTACATTGCTTAACCGTTATCCATATTTAACATTAATTTGATACAAGTGACAAGAAGTTCAAATATACATTAACAAGTCAAACAAACCTTGTTCCCCTGTCGACTGTAGCTATCTTTACTTTGTTTTATATAACTTTTCTCCGTTGTTTTGATTTTCACTATTAACGTTGCCGTGTTTTACTGTGCGTCGTTTCTTTATAAAGTTTTTTCCTTCACTTCCGTTCACACCGGAAGTTATCAAAATAAAAGCACAACCTTACAATTAAATGCCATAAACTGCGTGTTAATGTATAGAAGAGCTAACTTGACCTTTACAAGGAGGATGCACCACGAAATTTTCCTGAAGTCACTGGACGGATGGACAAAGTCTGGACTTCAGTGACAAACAAAACCATCCTGTCGGGATTCGGAAAGACCAGAATAATTCTAACTGGAACTGATGCTGAGTCTGACGACAGCGACGCAGAAGAGGAAGAGACGCTCTGTTTACCCCCGGAGGTCGAGGAGTTGCTCAGAAGTGACACCGAGGATGAAGAATTGAATGGATTTAGTGATTTGGAGTGAGATGGAGAATTTGTTAAACTTGTTCTGTTGTTTATGTTATAGTTTATCTGAAGAACTGTTCATATGTGACGTTAACAGTCTGTTGTTTTTACTAGAACTCGACTTTCAACTGGAAAAGTCTGTTCCTGGTCTCTGGACTCATATACATTTCTTTTTTTTTTCTTCATTATGCATTTTTTGGCTGGTGCGACTTGTACTCCGGAGCGATTTACAGTCCGAAAATATGGTAAGTAGTTTTTAAAAGCCGTGTCCTCTCCCCTCCCTGGTGTAAGCTTCTTTTAAGTGAATATACAGTATGTAAGTAACCCAGAGACTCTTATAACTAACAGTGTTTTAGTGCCGTCTCCCGTCTCCTCGCTCCTCTGGCCCTGCTCAGGCTAAATAATACAGTACGTACTAAAGAGCCCCGCGCCGCTGTGTAATCGTCCCACTTTTATTGTTACTCTTGACAGTAAAACTCCCATTGATCGCGAGCGCAGGGGACCGGCCACTGCCTCCAGCTGAAAATATGTCGGGAGATTAAGCAGGCCAATAAATGACACCGGCGAGTGGCAGTGGAGAGTTAGCGCCGCGCGGGGGATGCTCGCTGCTGCACGCCGTCGCTAATAGAGATAAGAGCGGCTCTGTTAGTCCGTATTGTATTTCTCATTAGGGGAACACAGAGGCCGGAGCCGGAGCTGGATCCATGGCATCACTCGATAGGAAAGCAAAAACAGAAAGACAGTGGTACCCGGCCTTTCCAAGAGTGTCCGCGTTCTGTTCTGCGCAACATTTTGAGGGTTTTTTAGCGTTCAAAAGATAAAATATTTAGTTTTAAAGGTCCTATATTACACGGAATTGACACTTGTAAGCTTTAACATGTGTTCAATTCGTCAAAACCAGACCTGGAGTTGTGTTTTTTCATTCACAGTTTATTATTACTCTGTCTACATCTACAAAGCTCAAAATGATTCTAATGAAGGTGTGTGGAGTTTAAAAACACAGTGGAGCACTTCCTGTCTTACCACGTGACATCACAAGATGAGACAGCACCGGACCAGGTACAAGACCGGGACTAAATCGGGACTAGACTGGGGCTAAACCAGGCACTATAAAGTACTAAACCAGGACTAAACCAGGTAATAGACCGAGATTAAACCAGGATTAACTAGACTGAACTAAACCAGGTACTAGATCGAGTCCTAGACCGGGACTAAACCAAGACATTAGTGCCGACTGCAGAAAAATTTCCCTTGATTTTGCACTCGTTTCACAATTTTATTATTACCAACCCAAACCGAGAGTGTTCCAGTTTTTGATTTTGAAAATCTGGTCACCCTACATTTAGAACAAAACTATAAACGGTCTTGCTCTCAACCCTTGGTCTCATCTCGGACTTGACCGTGTTTGAACTCATTCTTGTCTCGGTCTTGTCTCGGACTCGAGGTCTGACCCTCTTCGAGTGTGATCATGTTTCATTACGGCCGCTGCTGTCGGCAGTAAACTTCTTACTGCGACATGTGATTGAAGTTTGCTTAATAAAAGTTCACAAATGCATCAGTGTTTATCATGATGTGGTTCCTAAATGTGCAGAGGTAAATCCCACCGCAAAACCAGTAAGAGAACTTCAGTGCAAAACTTGAAAAAATCCTACCCACTTTCTTCACTTTCTTCACAGTTTTCTGTAAAGTGCCAGTGGAAGTTAGCCTGATTCATCAGACGGTTTCACTTCATAGAAACCGTCTGACCCTGTAGCATTAGGATTTGCCCGTAGGCGGATACTTTTATTAAATTTAACCAATCGCTCCTATTTGGTCGTGATGTATGTGATGCACCACTAACAGGACTAACTGGTATATTAAGCTTTTCCCAAATCCTGTAGGAAGAAGGACAATAACGTCTTTCTCCTTGATAAAATTCACCAAACATTCTCTTTGTTCCAGCTTTAAATCCTCGATCTCGGGAATCGTTGCCAACACAAGAATGTCTGGCTCTTCGCTGATTGACTGGTGCCCGAACTCGCACTTACAGGATTCTTGCAAACCGTCTAGTGTATTTTGATTCCTGATCTAGTCAGTAGGAGAGAAATTAAACTGAGTGGAGGCACTAGGTGACGTCAGTCTGGGTATGTGGAAGAAGATTAAAGATGAGGTTCTCAAACTGTGGGTGAGGCTCCAAAAAAAAGGGCGTTTAAGGAGTGTTTCAGTGCAGTACAGTTTCTTTGACTTATTTTAAGCCTAAATTAACATTAATCAGATAGAATGGAGAAAGATTTATAAAAACATTGATATATTTGTGCCAAAATAACTCTAAAATACAAATAAATGTTGAAAATGTCAAAGATAGTCTTGATTTGGTCTCGATGAGCCGTGATCTCGAGTCTCTCTGGTCTCTGTTCTCTGGTCTTGTCTCGGTCTCGACATTTAAAAGTCTCGGTCTTGTCTCGTTCTCTGGACTCTGTGATCTCGGTCTGGTCTTGGTCTCGATTAGTTCGGTCTTGACTCCAACACTGGCGCACCTTTAATGAAAAAAACGATCCGCTGTTGGATTTTGTGGTCTTTTTTTCCCCGTTTTTCCTGCATTAGAACCCGTCCTCCATTACTGAACAGCCCCTGCGAGCCCTGTTCCTCTTTACGCTCCCTCCCAAACCGACGTAATGGCCTGTTCTCTTTCACTTTTCCCTCTCTCCCTCATTACAGCGTTTTGTGACCGCTGCATCTGCCATCTCCGCTCTGATCTCCCACAGGTCGAATCCGGCTATCATCCCGCGAAAAAACCTGCTAAATAAAACCTCCCCGCAGACTGGAAAACACATAAAAGCACAATGCCAGCTTAACAACATCGCTAACCCCGCTTCCGAAACGACAAATTGGCTCCTCGCGCTAAAACGCTCGCTACATCTCTTTGTCTTGTCGTCCGGAGGCACAAAGCTGTTCCTCATGCTCGCGCGTAATGGAAAGTTATTGATACGCCGGTAGGTTTTAGCGGTTTTATGCTCGCTTGTTATGTCCGCGATAAAGAGGCGTCACCGGGGCTCACACGAGGGACAGGGGACAAGCGATTCTTCTAGAGCGTTTCTTTTTTTTTCTGTTTACAAACCAACGCCGCAAATGTGACCCCAGAGCGTTCAGCTGGAAGAAAACTAGAGCTATTATTTGTCTAAACGGAAAGAAACTATGGCGAGAAAGAAAAGAAAATATAAACTGTGGAAGATAAATGGAAAGGGAAGTAAAAAAGTTTTTCCGTTCATCGATCAGACTCACATTGCACCAACTAAAATCTGATAAATTCAATAAATGGACACATGGAAGACACAAACATTATAAAAATAAACACCAGGGGTCTACAACTTGTATCTTCTAGTAGCTCTGAACCTCCTTTCAAGTCGCTCGCCAAGGGATTTCGGAATTACACACAATTAAAATTTGACTAAATAAATGCCTATTAACCCTCTCCAGGCAGACGTTGCAGATTTGCAACAGCTAAATTCCAAGTACCTACTTACTCCACATCCATATTATATGAGCTTTTTTTACTCAGGAGCCTTTTTTCCCATCCATGCTGATAAACGTGGGCGATGCAGACTGTGCAAGAATGGCTACACGCAAGAAGTGCAAAATACTTTTTTTGTTTACAAAGGATAAAAAAGTCAGAATTGTATATTACTACCCCATATTATAATTTTCCCCAAATATCAGATTTTTCCTGATACTAAAAATTAATTTGAGCCTGAGAGGGTTAAAACTGTACACTAATAAATGGATAATTGTTCATAGATAAAGCAAGAGAGGTAGAGCGCTTCACTGGGTCTTAAAAGAGTAAAAAATAACAGTACAGGTGCTCTACAAGAGTTAAGGCAGTGGTCTTAGATCAGAAAATTACCCTTACAGGAAAATGTAAAAATGGGTAAGGTACAAATCCAAGGCACTCCAGCTGAATATATTAAAAGTCCTTTATTACATGAGGGGACGCCAACGCATTTCGACCAGCAAGATGGACTTCGTCAGGGCAGGAACAAACCGAAAAAGCGAGTGCAATGTGCCACTTCTGGACACAACTGAACAAC